CAGGGGTTTTTGTTCCACTTACAACAAATATGCTGTGGTTAAGCATATGTTCCTGTTACAGAGTGGCACGGGAGGTCAGCCTGTTTCCTTAGTAACTTAAATATGAACACGTAAACAATGGTGAGAGGGTGATGGAGCAATTTTAATCTATATGGTCCACACTATGCATTCAAATACAGCTGAGCTCAGAGGCCAAAGTGTTAAATGTTGCTTTGAATTCAGTGGCGTAAGGAGGAGAGGTTGTGCCTGCCTTTTTAGGGAGGAGCCATATCCCCCTCAGGTTCCACTGCTGAGGTTCCTGAATTTCAAATATGTCAATGTGTACTCTTATAGCCATAAAGGTGTCTCAAAGGCAGGGTCACTGTTCTGAAATGTCAAACCAGCTTATGGAATAACTTTCCAAGAAAATTCCTGAAGGGAATTTGTGAGACAAATGGTGATGGGGGCGGGGGACGGGACAGAGACAAGAGAGACAACGACGACGGGGGATGGAGACAGGGTAGACACCCGAGGACAGATGACATGTAACTGGACAGGTCGTTGATACACAGAAAAACCACCGTAGCCATGTTCTTACGACAAGCTGGTGTACCTCTTTCAAACTCGCGTCACGTAGAGCTGAGATGGCCAGCCAGCTGTCAAATTAGGGCTTAGCGACTCATCTCCTGTCCTCGCTCTTTGACCTCAACGTGTTATCCAGTTGCCGCCTGCTCCTGACCCTCAGCTGAGCCACGAAGGAGAGCCGGTCTTTGCCACAAATGTTCCATCCAATGGCCCTTGAAAAAGAGTCTGAAACAAAAATGGCTCCAAGACTCTACCACAGCTTTGGTCCAAGCCAGCCGTTTCACCCAAGTGCTTGCTTCTTCTAGATCCCAATTAGTGGCAGACTGCCCGTCGCAAACATGAAGGGTCTTCAGAAGTTTTCTGGAGACAGAGACAACTGTACGTCACCTGCAGAAGTCAGCACATCTTTTGCAATCTTCAGGGGTTTTTTGTTGATGAGTTACTCAGGAAATTTTTTAACTTTTCTTGAATATATCTGTTGTTTCAAGCAATTCTCTACACAATAACTATGACTGAGCCTCGGTCTGCAGATTGCAAAGATTTCCTGGTTGGCTTGTGACTAGAATTTCAACTGCTTGACTGGAGAATTAGGCTTTTCAAATAATTATAATTATTTTTATTTTAATAATTTTAAAACAATTATAAAATGGTAACTGGTTGACTGATATAATTTGCAATTATTGTTTGTATGCTGATGGGTATCTGCTGAATGGATACTCTAATTCAGATGAGTATTCTGTTCAATATCCCTCTTAGTAAGTACAGTAATACACAATTTTATGCATGAGGTGACACTACTTTCATTACAGTTGTTGTTTGTAACACTGTTTTGGAATGCAAACATGAAAATTTCTAGTCCAGGAGTGTCAATCTTTCAAAATACTTCATGCACATTTCTTTCTGTCAAAACTGAGATTTTTCATGAAGAGCATCTCAATGGCTACAAATTTATTTGAAAAATACTCCATCAAAAAATTTCAAATAATTCTCAGCAGAATCTTTGTGCTGAACAATGTCATCCTACAACATAAAGGGGCTCATATCTTCATAGTTGCAAACAGGATTAAAATGTCCTTATCTTGCATTTTGACATATTAAAAACTACACTGACCTGAGTAACTCCTGCCCCTACATTTGAAAATGTTAAAAATTAGTATGTAGCAACCTTTAGGGTGAACCAGGTACAGCTGATTTATACACCTCTTTCGACAAATCCACACAAATTTGAAATACTTCAAGAATAAAAATACTTGCTTAATTATGTGTTTTATTTAAGGCACATATATCTCATTCTACATTTGCTTCCTCCCCAGAGTCACTCCACTATTTTGGACAAGAAAGGAAGAATAAAACTAAAAAGCCCTACTCTTGAAATTATTTGGGGTCCACCTGTAAAAAGTGTTGAAGGGTAGTATCTAGGTCAGGTGAAGGAGAATCTGCTATCTGAAAAATTAAAATATCTTCATACAGAAGTACAACCAAAAGGAAAACTACGTATCAAAGGACAAGGTAATCACTGCTTTCAACAGTAATCTGCTGCTGTATAAAGCACCCTGACAACACAGCTCATTACTTGTCCCGATACGAGGTTCTGAAAACAAAACAGGACAGACTTCCAACACCTCTGCCTTCAGGTGTGCACAGCGGCCGCTTTAGCAACCAGCAGATTGAACCACCCGTGCCTCAGTGGAAGAAGGGAAGGTCTGTAGATATTTTACAAAATAGAGGAATCATAAAGGAATATAAAAAGAATGAAAAATGCTTTTCACACAGCACAAATAGATGTTGACATGGATGCTAATGTTATCCTTTAGAAAGAGCAATTAAATTGCATTAATTTACAGGTAATCCCAACTACTGTTGTAGTTAACAAAAATATCTGCAAGTCTAATCTTTCTTCCCGTCCTTTGGTAGCCCTCCATACAGTGGAGCAAAGCATTGACTTTGAAAAGAAATCCAGCAGGCTCCCTGCAGTGTTCCCGTTTGGATTTCATTTTCCCAGACCACAGCAAATCCCTCTTACATTGATCTTCTGGCTGCTGCCTCACGGTGTGAAATACATTTGCATTGTACTTTTGGAGGTCACGCTCTTTGTGGTCTGCTAGCGACCTACGAACGAGGGCACCAACACGGAAGTTGTAGAACTTGATGAGCCTTACTGTGATGTAGAATATAGGGAATGTCAAATACTGATTTGTACGATTATCATAAAGCTTTTCAGGTTACACACTGATACATGAGCAGTGTTATATCCAGTTATTGAGGCAGATGAAATTGCTGCAGGAGAGGAAGAAAGAGGGTGCAAGAACCCTGGGTCAATCTAGACAGGGGAAAAATGAAACAATATAAGCAGTAGATGTAAGACGCATTAGAAGACAAAAAGTATTTATTGGATACAAATAGCTTCTCGGCACTAGAAAGATAATAATACTACTCAGCAACTGAAGGCTAGAGAGAGGACAGTATGCACCTTTCTTTGTCTGGGTGGCTATTATCATCATTTGCCTGCTTTCTTGTTCTTTAGCAGGATTTGGCTGCCAGAATCCAAATGCAACTACAAAATGAGAGAACACCACCAGTGCAACATGAGTGCTCTGAACAAAGGCATTTGCAGCACGCTTATGGAGGGCACATACATATCTTTCTTTGTATTTCACTGGACCAGTCAGCTCACGGCCATTCCAATGTTGTAACGTTTCACGGCCTACAGAAATATCATATTGTTTAACTTTTATAAAAATTAGAGAAACAAGGCTATCGAGTTAGGTACAAGGTTTGCTACTGATGTGCAAGAATACAAATGAAAAGCAAAATCCTGAATGTACAGGTTATACCTGAAAGCTGCACATAGACACAACAGTACAATATAATCAACTTTACATAAAGGGTTTTCATCCACAGTAAGAAATGATTGCTTTGACCTGTGATAATACCAGAATGATTCTAAGGGCCCAAAGTATATTCAAAGTCTAAGAGATTAATAATTTTTTTAATTGTTCCTAGGACAAATTTATAGTGAATGGAGAGGAGGGATTTAGGAGCAGTCTTTAGCATAGCTAAGTGATAGCTTGTTTTAGGCAATGACAGGGACATTGTTTCTGCTGCCATGTGAGCTATTTGCAAAGTCTTTCATTCCACTGGAAAATATTTATCTTAACTTATTAATTAAAAGGAAGAAAACATAAAGACAACAAAATATTTTTAATGAGATTTTATTAGACTGAGCACCTATCTTGAGAGTTACTTATCAAAAGTCTCCAGCTCTGGGTGAGACATGAAGTGTGTTATGTTGGACATAACTGAAATAACTTGCATTTTGCTTTTAGACTAACGTAAAGGGATCAAAATTCAGATGGTCTGTTTTACTGCAAATGTAGGCACTTTGAAATCTACTGCCATTCCAATTTGCTAGGGGGCAGACTGCTGTGAGTAAACTGTGCCACACTCAGTGAGACTCTGGCCTGATGCCATTTATTTGTGACCCACAATTTTGAGAACTCGTTCTGAAAGGACACCAGTGCAACACAACTGTAAATATATGTTTCATGAATGAGAAATCTGAATACTTTTTACATTTCGCTAACATGCCAGAGCTAATAGTGCATAAGTTGACTTCTATATTCATATGGTATCAGTCAGAAAAAAAATCTTGTAATTATATGCTATTTTGTAAATAGGATGATTTTATTAATTTTGGTCTTGTTAGGATGTTTTGACTAAAAGAATATGTTAATTTCAAGTATTGATTATAGCAAAGCAAAAATTAATCTTTACTATCTATGCTTCAAAGGAGCACAGACAGTAAAGTTGCCTGCTTTTTCAGTCTTTCACCTGGCTCATTTGTGAAACTCTGCAAGTGTGATACTTAATTCAACGGGATTTAAATTAATCTTGAATATCCACAAAATAGCATTTTTTGTATCTTCTGCTAATACTCATGTCCTGATAAATTAGCTTGTTTTAAATATCCCATGAAATCCGGCATTGTAAAGGTTAAGTGAAAGGCATGCAAAGGCAAAAGAGGTTGTCAAAGTGCAAAACAGACAAAACTTTTCTTCTCTTGTACAGCTTCTCCTAGTTACTGTTTAAGCATTGCAGGCCAGTTGCAAAGTAGCAACACTGCTACTGCCTCCAGTATCCCCCACTTTGCTTGTGTTTATGGATTTGACGTAAGTTTCCTATATCACCTAGGGAGGAAATGACTGCAAAGTGCCTAGGATGGTACCCAAGACTGAAGACAATAGAGGTGATTGAATTTCTGAAAGGCAACAGCAAGTCTAGCAGATATATATTGACCAAGGCTGGTGAGATAGCTGGCCACAGCCTGCCTCAACATCGAACTGCTGAATAAAAAGCAGTAGCGGCAGCAGCAGGGGACGGGCAGGTTTAGAGCGACAGAAGCCATGGAAGGAAGCAAAACTTAAGAGACAGCAACAGTAAGACAAAGTACATATAAACTTTTAATGAATTAACCTTACAAAAGACAATAGCTTCAAAACATTTGACACGTTTGTACAAAACTATTCCAGCATTGTTAGTTCTCTCTTCAGAAAGAATGCCAGCAAGCCACCCAACGTGTCCCTGGCTATGAGATGCAACTGGTGATCACATCCAAATCATGTGTGGACAGAGTAAACTTATTTACAAATACTGTATACTTTAATACCAGATTAGTGGATGCTATTGGGGAGCGACTGTATTTTCCAGAAAACACCATGCATCAGAAAATAGTATGCACCCCTAGCTTTATTGCCTTTTTTCCCCACATTTGTCACTAACAACTCTTTTTAGTCCTTTCAGGATGAGTTATCTCCTTTTAATTCCTGTTCCATCTTTTCTTGTCTTTGAATAACAGTGCAAGTAGCAGTACAATCGTCCAGTCCTATAGCGTACATCGCAACTGTCCTCGAACATAGGAATATCAAGGTGCAAAATGATGGCTCATGGGACTATTCTGCAGCCATATTAAAATAAGTGCCACATACCAGAAAATAGCACGCATGTTAAGGGCCAAAATGTAGTTAAAAAGTGCGTGATACTTTCCTGAAAATATGGTATTAATGACACATACAAGCATCTTCAAGATGCCACGTTCCCTTGTGAAAGGGATCTTGTCATTTCAGTATGTACAAAGTATGTCTTCAGCTCTCCTTTTCCTTTTACATTTATTATTCCTCTGCAAGTGCTCATGTACCCCAGTGTCTGCAGGACGTTGTTCGTCTCCTCTGTAACCTGCAACAATAGAGCAAGACAACCAGCATTGGTAACAGAGCAAAGGAGAATCTTCTTCCAGAGTGTGAAGAGAACGTACATTCTCAGCAATTAGAAGGGTTTTGCTGTATTGCTTACAAGGCCTTTAAGGGTCTCAAGTGAGGTTTGAGCACCTGAGCTTTCAAACGGTCTGTTGCTGGATGGCCGTTCTAATCACATCAAGTATCGAATTTGGTATAACCATTTCTGTACCTAGGATTGCAAACAGATGGCTCGTAGGTACACAAGTGGCACTAGGGACAACACTCTTCCTCGTATAGCATTTTTCTCATCTTCAGGAGCTGTTTTTCACTGCGGTAGACCCAAGCTTCTCTATCTTTTTGCAAATACTAAGGCTGTATGAATGAAATGAGAGTAAGACATTAGCATCATCTGTCAGAGCTGCTGTTGCCAGTTTCTCACGTAACTGGCAGTGAACCAAACTTCAGGCAGTTCTGCCGTTTTAGGTGAAAGCCCGCTAGGACAGAGGTTGTTCAACAGCATCAGTTGTCTCAGATTGTCTGTGTTTCTTTGTGCAGCAAGCGACTGTTTGTAGATGTCATTGCTTTGACATCCCTTCTGTTTTCAGTTTTGATCAACAGTTGGTAACTTTACTTTTCCATTATTTATTTCTGAATCGTCTCAATCATCGATTTGGAGTGCTCTCAATCACATGCTAGGATCCAAAAATGCTAGGCAGCACACTAGGCAGACACTTAAAATGTGATCCCTGACTATAGGATCACTGGGAAGTTAGTAAATTGAAGGTCATGTCTATACAGGTCTATCTATAATCTATACAGATAATAATCTATAAAGATTATTAATTGGCATGGTTCATTAAAAGGGAAGTTTCATGATTGCTTTATGGATATAACTTGATGTACAGCAGTTATGGTAATTTCCTTTATTTAGAAATAATTAACATCAGGAATGCCCTTCAGAGATAAGGTCGCTAGTATTTTATGAAATCCACAGAGTAGAAATGTGATCTACCTCAAATCCTCTCTTAATCTAGGGATGCATTTCCAGGCAACCCATGACTTCCTCCACTGTATTCCTCTGTAGGGTCAAGACAAAGTTTTGATTCTCCTCCCATTTTCCCTATAATTTGCTTTTAATTCTTTACTTTCTGCCCAAGGTCTAATTCTTTTGAAACGTACAGATACAGCTGGTAGGTAAATTTTTTCTGTAGGCATCCTTAACTCCAAAACACAGACCTGTTTAGTGTACAAATATATGATGGTTTTTAAGCACCAAACTCAAAGGATGTAGATAAATACTAGCACAAAACCAAGACTTACCTGTATTTTATCTAAGACACCAGTGCTGTCCATCCTGCTGGCCACATTTACTGTATTGCCCCAGATATCATATTGTGGTTTTTGAGCTCCAATTACTCCAGCTATTACAGGTCCATGGTTGATACCTGGAAAACATCAGAATTTAACATTAAGAATGAAGATCCACCAAACAAGGACACACAGTGCATCTGGTAACATATCAAGTTGATGAACATGGTATTTGGCCTGTGCTGAATAGTGAGTACAGCAACAAAGTCTGCTCACAACTGTTCTATCAGCCATTGACAGCAGGAGGATGTTAGTTATAAAAATGCAAAAAGTTAGTTCATCTAATTTTAGTCTTATAGCTCCCTCCTATCCTGAGTAAATTTGATATTTCCAACCATTAGTATCCTAATAACCTGTTACCACTGTTAGCAGGTGGCATGAGGAACACACCGTGGGAGACCAGCAGCTTCTGGGAAAACAGACATACAAGAATTTCTTTTCATTTCTGCTTGCAGTGAAAAAGGCTTCTCCTCTCTGCAATAGCTACTGGCCAAATCAAATGACTTTTACAGTATTCTTTGCTTCTTAAATGTAAAATAAACTGCTGTGAACGAGTTGGAAGGATGTCAAGCCTTGTTCCGCAGGCTGGATTGCCAATAGAATGGTCCTAAATAACTGCAATATTAATATATGTATTCAAATAATTTGATTAAGCATGGAGTAAGAGTAACAAATTGCTAGCTCTGAAATGCACACTGTAAGAGTGAAGAACAACATAGTATAGTCCCTCATTAGACTCTGGGCATTTTATATCTTGCAGTCAGTTTGTATTCTGTGTTATATTTGTAAAGGGAATGAGCTGTACTCTGCTAGTAGGGAAGGAAACCGGGAGGCAAAATCAAAAGCACTGTCATTAACCAGCATCAAATATACTATAATTGTAACTATACATACCAATGAGCAGGAAAGCCAAGTTAGACCTAGTGAGAAATAAACCCTGGACAAGTGAGTAGTTTGGATTTCTAAAATTATCTCCATGTCAGTGGATCATAACTGACTTCTGTCAATTCCTTGACAGAAACCATCACTAGGGATATATGTATGCAGCAAAATGAAAGTGTGATTGTAGCATGGGGAGGCATCTCAGAGCTGGCTCATCTAGTATGGATCATATATAACATGGCAGCATGGGCTAGCAACCACACTGTAAGCCCACTTGGAAACCCTGCAAAAAGTGACTGTAGCAGTTAAATTCAGAAAATTGGGGAAATATGCAAACCCTAAAGGATACCAGATAGGACCTGATCAATATTTGTCTAAGTGCTTGGGATTAAATGCAAAAAGGGACTTGGGCCTTGCAACACCCTGTATTCACAACCAAGCCATGCGTGTGCCTTTCTGCCTCATGACATCCCAAGGTGTAGAAAGCACTAGGGACCTAAAAGTGGAATCCACAAAAGCCATCTGCTGAGTAGCCCAAGCTGGCTAGTAGGGAACACTGAAGAGATGTGTGTGGCAAATGCTCTGCCATGGTCCAGACGTTAGGGCAGTGCGGTGGGACTTTTCTACAGGATACAATGGGCAGGAGGCGGGTTTTATTTTTTTACCTCCTTCTTGAACCACCACTGCTGATGGTTCGAGTAATACCTCAGGGGCTAGAGAGCCAGCTTCAGATCCATCCTCCTTCGAGGAGACTTCTACCCATATCTCTTAGGAATGTGTTTTGGCCACCCAGGCATTCTGGGACGCGCTGCTCTATGTCATTCCTGCTAGTGTGGGCCTCCTTCGCATGACACACATGAATGTTTGTTGGGGCAAGGCTGGAAGAATTAATACTGTCGGTCCACGTCAATGCTCTAACAGAGGGTGATACGATCTGTCTTTTTCTCTCGTATCCAAAGCGACATTTAATTATTCCGTGAAAAGGCAACTACTGTTCAGCAAATACTGTTCAGCAGGACAGACAGAGAATATCTCATTCCAAAGTATCCTACAGCCTGGGCTCATAGCATTCTCCTGGGAACAGGGATCCCACCCCATGCTTGAGCAGCCTCAGCCAAAAGCAAGAACCAAACTAAGTTCACCTACAACACAGACAAAAATGTTCCAACCATGAAGCTGTATAGCAAACATGTCAGCCTCTATTCTCTTCTGAAAAAAAAGCAGTACCTGTGCAACACCTGCTGCGAAAGTGTATCTGAGCTTGTCTAATACATCAAGCACCTGAGCTAACAGAAAGGGAGGAGCGCCCGAAATATAATCGAGGCGCTCCCCTCCCTCGCCTGACAATGTCAGAGTAGGCTGGGTACCTCCTGACACACAGCTAGCATTTCAGGCACTCACAGAAAGTGGAGGTCGAAAGCTGAGACCTCCAGTGAGTTGCAGCAGTTCTGGGGTTAGATGCTGGCCGAGGAAGACTTTTACAAATGGCAGTTTGGGTTTAAATCCTTACAGCAGGGATTATGTCAGAGGTAGAAGTTCAAATGTTTCTGTGGCTCTAATTGCTATGGGTATCAGGTGCTTTCATGGTCAGGTGGAAATGGAGAAGTGAAGTGAAGATGGGAGGTGAAGATCTCAGTGGGGCCTGTACTGGGTTAAGGTGGCAGAAGTGCCAGTTTGGGGCCTGTGTCCCTTTGTAGATTTAATCATTCCTCATTTCATGAAGCAAAGGAGTCTGACTTCTCTGGAACCTATAGCAAACACTTTAAAAATCACAAGCACCTATCTTTTTTTCCCCTAGAAAGTTTGCTTCATGATCCCAGCTTTAAAGGAGTCAGTATTGCTTTAATCAGTTTGCAGATTTAGCCCCAACACTCAGCAGCTCTTTATCTGTACTGACACAGCTGATAGAAGTATGTTTGCAAGTATGTGGCATGTCATCTATGGCAAGAAGAGAACTTTTATTCTGTATGGAAATATGGTATCTCTACACATTTCCTTTAAACCCATCAAGTTCTGTAACACGTTGAGAAGGAAGCATACTTCAGATTTGCTTTGTCATGTTTTAACCCTAGCAAGGAATACAAAACATACTGGCGAAGGAGTGCTCTAAGGAACAGGTACTTCAGGGCAGAAGATGGCAAGTTTTGCCAGTGGGTGGCACTGTAAAATCAGCGGGAGAGGAGCAGCCGACAGGCAGAGCAAGCAGCACAGCAAGAAAAAGACAAGACAGGAGAATAACTGTTGGAAATCAAATACTTCTGACATGTTTACGGGATTTATGGGTTTCCAATATTTATTTACTGCTTTCATTTCACACTTTACAAGTTACATATTGCATTGTAAAACTGCTGTGTACTGCTATTGGGAAATAAACATTTTGGAACATATGGTTCTTGACCAGCTCTGAATTCATTTATTTCATCATCCTTTCCATGGCTTACTGCAGCTGCCTATTTCTTTTTTAAAATACCATGATACACAAGTAGAAGCAATCAGAAGCTGAAATATATTATAACATAATATAATATTACCCTTTCAAATGTAAACAACTAGTCATCTTTGCTCTTATTTGTCAATAAACACAGAATAATAAAGAAGGAAATACCCTCCTTTTTCTAACACTGGGAAGGAAAGGGTACCCTTGCGTATGCTTGCTTGAGTTTACTACATCTAAAGTATTTCAAACTCCAGCCTCACTGGCCCCTTATAGCTCGTGTCCTCCAAAACCATTTATATGGTTTTGTAAAGCCCTTTCTAGAGTCTTCTTGTGTCTCTTGGTATTGAAATAGGGTAAAAAATTTATGCAGTTAACAACCTCTAGAATAATTATTATTGAGTTATCATAAAACTATTCAGAGCTATGGGAACATATTTTTTCAACCACTCTTTACTTAGGAATGCTGCCCTTTTCTGAGTCCTGCCTTGAAACACTCCTTGTGGCAACAGTAGCTATGGTTAACAGGCAACACCATCTAGGCTGCCTTTAAACAGGGTAAAGACGGTGCCATTTACTTTCATGGCCCTTTTTGTCAGTTCTACTAACACTTTAATCAGCTGGTACGTCACACTGAATTCTCCCCCTCCTCCATGATATTCTCATAAAAATCCCGTGATACATACCTACTCGTAACTTGAAGTCATTGAATGAATGCTTGTTTATGACATCCAGTTTTGCCACCAAGGCAAATGCAAACTCCACCATGGTTCCTATGTGCATATACTGTCGTTCCGGTTCCTGAATTTAAACAGGCAGAGTAAAATCATTTTCCTTAGCCTTAGTTGCTGTGAGAATACAACCAAAATATGCTGGGCACTTGAAAGCACTTAAACCCTTAGGGATGTCCTAATGCCAGCAGGCAGCAGAAGAAAAGTAATGTAGAAGATGATGCCCTGTCCAGCATCAGTTAGCTCAAACAACGGACAATAGACCAGGATGCATTTTACTTACACAGTCAGGCAGTCTAGAGATGATAGATCCAAAACATGCCTAATCTCATGTTCTGATTGTCAAATAACTGATTAGCTGCTATCTAACCCCACAGGCACTCAATGTCTATGTGTGCCTAGGATTTGCTCATTAATTTTCTCTTAAGTGTCTGCTTCTATTTTATGCCCTTTAATAATAAGTAATGCTCATGGACAGCCCTGCAGAGACTCAGCTCCCCCTCACTGTTGCACAGCTCAACACCCTAGTTAATAATTAAGATCCAGTGAAATCCACAATTTTTAAGAGTTCCTCCACTGATCTCATCTGGTAGATAAGCAAGCACCTGTGTGAACATCTAATAGACCTGAAAATGAATAAAATACAAGAGGTAGAGACGAAGAAGGCAACCCATCCTCTGTCACCTAATTTACTAGCTCAGAGCTTATACCACTTAAAAAGGCCATAGACTTAATGCCTCCTCATACATCAACAGTGTAGCCTGATTTCTAAGTACTGGTTTGAGTCCCCTCAGGCTGAGGAGAAAATTGATTTTCAGGCTCCCACAGCCCAGGGTAGGACCCTGACAAGAGGATGGTTTCATAGGAGATGGACTCACTGATCTCTCTGAGGAATGACTGAATCTTCCTCATTTCTTGGAATAAAGTGACAGAAGGGATGGACAGATGACAACTTCAGGAGATGATTCATAGAGTAGGCATCAGCCTAGGTGGGACAGTAGAGGTGCTTGCCAGAGCAGCTGTTTAGATGAAAGAAGCCTGTTTCCTTTGGAGTTCACTCCTAGCTAAGACAGATGGTCTCCTGTTCAGTTGATGTATTCAGACCCCCTCCTTAGGCACTTAGTCTTCCTCAGGTGCTTGTTTTCAGCTGGGGGCGGTTCCCAGCAGTATGTCTAGGAGTCAGTCACTGCCACACTAGGTACTGCAGGATCTGTGCATCTTGGGTCATCTGGACTGAAGGCTGCTGAGTTCTGGTGGATTTCTTTTGAAAATGTGTACTACATCACCAAAGGAACACTAAAAGTTGGATCTCTTGATCCACAGTTTGTGGAAATAACTCAAACCATCAATTTCTTCCTACGCAGACACTAGTTTTAGTTGTGATTGAGAGCTCCTCTATGTCTTCTCATCTCCAGTCTACAGTTCTGCATTTCCTTCATCACCTTCACCTCCCTGTATTAAATGTCAGAGCTAATTTAAAATCATTCTTATTGTCCTCAGGATCCTTAGGGTCTACAGTTCAGGTGTTAATTGCTTCTGTCTAGAAGGAACATGAGTTCGGCAAGAGCACATTAATCCTTGGCAGAGAATGTGTTGATTTGTAATTGGTGGCTCTCTGTTGCTAACCTATAGTACTCTAAAGATCATGGCAAAAGCAAGGTTTTTGCTTAGAAGTTACGAACTGCTTCTCTGAACCTCATTTCTACTGACTGCAGTTCCCAGGCCTACCCTATTAAGTAAACCAGAAACAAAGGAACACGTTCTCAGTGCTGAGTCTGAGGGTTCTGTAAGCGTGTGGTTAGTACAGCTACTCAGACCTCCCAGCTTACAATGGAAAATACTCATTCTTGCAGTCTTTTGTGCACTCTATAAATCCAGTTCTGCTGCAGCACGTAGGAATAAAATGCTGTATTGTATTTAGAGTAGAAGGCCTGTTTTAGACTTAGCAAATACAGAGGTGGCATTTTCAAACCGCTATGTGAAGAACAGTAATTCACAGAGATGACGAAATAAAAGTATACACTTACCCAGTACAATACAATCGATGTTAATAAGAAAAATCTAGGACACAACATTATATATAACCTGCAGCTTAATGAACAGAATTTTAGCCTTCATTTGAGCATGTTTTTTATTAAGCAGGAATCTTTTCCTGTACCTGACACTGTTCTTGGTTGGGTGTAGCACTCAGTCCTGTTGCTGCCATGTAAGTGCTTCCAATGGTCTTTATCTTTTCAACTCCACTGAACTTTGGCTTTGACAATAGCTGTAAAACAAGGATGGTTATTCATTATTCAGATCAGCAGCCTTGTTACTCTAGCAGCATTGTTACTCTAGCAGCATTGTCACTCTAACAGTATTCAGATCATCAATTCTTAGAACAGTCTCTTAACAGACCCCAAATGGCTTCACAAATATATACAGGATGAAGGACTTAAGGATGGAAAAAACAATGGTTACAGCCTCCAAGGAAAGGCAATTTCTGTCTCCTAAAATACCTTTTTATTACAAAGGGACTAAATTTACAGTAATGAGAATAAATTACACCTTATTGTACATACAGCTCATAAAAGTCAGTAGACTTTGCACTCATTTGATACTGGAACTGAGTCACCATGCGAGCCAACAGTTAAGCTTTAAGCAGCTTTCTGAAAGTAAGTATCTATTCCATGCCAATGGGATGGTCCAAGCCAATGGGACTAAAAGCCAAGGATTTTAGTTCATATCCCAGGTTTTTCTGGCCATTCCAATGTTCTCCAAATGGGTTTTCTGCTAAAATACCCTCTATAGCTGCAGATCTGCAAATCCAGACTGTGCTCTCTGAGTCATGACATGATCTTAATGCCTTTTTCTGGTATCTTCATCACTAATAACTTTCTTTAAGACAAATACTGTTCTCAGTGAGACCTTTACAGCTGCCTTTTCACAATCCATCTGTAGTCATACTCTGTACCTGCTTGAAACTTCAGAGAATGGAATATTAAAACTTATACAATCCTTTGAGTCACTCATGTATCAACTGATCAACGCTCTGTATAATGAGACCAACACAGATCAGGTAAAACACAAAGCTGTATCATTTTAGGGGACATAGATTTACGTACCTGACTTTAGGAACTAGTACTTAGAAACTGTAGTTAATATATGACATGTAATAGAACTGCCTCATGAACTGCAGCTAAAGGGCAAAAATTTTTCCATCAGATAATACACATGGGGTTCTCATTATAGCAAATCAAAAGCAACTGAGTATGATGTCAGTCAATACCTGATTTATCCCACATATATCTCTTTTTCCTTTAATACTCCCTGTAAGTAATTTCCACGTGACTAGGCACACAAAAGTTCTTTTCTGACAGCTCTTCCACTCTCCCTTTCAAGTATGTTTGCTTACTGTTGCATACCCTGAGTTACTAAGACTGAAACCATATGTCGATTGTTGTTAGAAGTACATACATCATCGAAGTCAGCAATGATCTCATTTAGCAGCCTGAGACATTCCAAGCCTTCCTTATTTACATCAGATTCCGTGTAAAATTCCTTGAAATCCGGAACAGAGGCAAACATGACACAGACGCAGTCATACGACTGATGATACAGATCCTGTCCAAAATAAAGCAGAATAGAGAAAAAAAACTCTGTCATACCCAGCTCTAAATAAAAGTTTCCTCATTAATATGCAGTGTCCTGGTTCTGAAAAGGGAGGCATTGCAGTGGCTGGAATGCCTTAAGATGGTAGTTGGGTATTTTTTGCACTTACTTGCATTTATTAATTTCAAGCTGTATATAAACCTGTTTGTTAAAGAGACTCAACATATACAGCTGAAAATAATTTAGTGATTTAAAGTTACCTTTTTTCCTCCTGAACATTAACTCCATGAACATAAAATGTTAACTAATTTATTAGATAGGGCCCATTTCTGAGGCTCCTAATGAAGAGAATTTGGTCTGGCTTGCATGGCTGAAACTATATTTTGCAAAAAAATATCTAATTTATTATTAGTTGTTTGTGTTATTGTAATAACTAGAAAACTGAACCAAAATCACAAACCCAATGCACTACAAATGCATAATGCAACACAATCCTAATAGCTCCTAACCTAAAATGACAAGATGCGTAATAAGATAAAATAATTGTCATTTTTTTCCATAACAAGGAGCTGAGGCAAAGGGAAAGAAGTCACCTGAACTAAAACCTATTTATGTCAGATTCTCCACTGCCTTCTGTGACCACTAAAATGAGAGCACCTCTGCTCCCCAGGAAGATTCTGTTGCTAAAAATGACCACACCATCCCCACCCCACCCTTCAGTTTCGTCCCCACTGCCCTTAAATGTTAGAATATATCTTCTTTCAGAACAAATTCACTTCCTAAAAAAAAAAAGAAAGAAAGAATATTTATTAAACTAATACTTAAAAAAAAATTAGTATTTATACACAAACGTAACCACAGCAATAAAAGATGCTGTAAACTGCTATAACGCTAAGTTCTGTTCAAGTTCTTATTTGAGTAAAACAAGGATTTCAATACTCCTGTGAATAAGGTGAATAGGATTTGTTCTGTGATTTCAAGAAGCATCAGATATTATTTCCCTTTTTACCAGCAAGGCTTTTTTTTTTTTTTTTTTTTTTTTTAAATTTCACTGGCAATACGTTTCTTTTTGGAAGAATGTGATGTGTCTGTAGACAGACGTGTAGACATAGTGAATTTCTATTGGTGATGTATAACTGAAAAATAGCAGAACTATGGGAAAACTGTTGACCACCTCATCCCAGAACAGGTGTGAGGGAAGTTTCTGGGCAAACACAAAAATAATGGCAGACAGGGAGGAACACGGGCAGCTGGAGGTGGTAGATGATTTATTACTAGATTTTTCTGCCCCTTTATTTTCTAAGGATTCCATAACCAGTGCATCGCTGAAGCTCCATCACGCCTCTGTGCAGTGGGGATGGAATATATCGTTGCAATTCACCATTATTATTTATATTCTTAAAGCTGAGCTGGTTGAAATCACCCATCTGTACCTGACATCCAGCTTACAGCCATGTATACAAAATCAGTACCTCTTTAATGTGACCTGATTGTGCAAATGAAAAGCAACTAAACAAAACATCCAAGCCGATGAGTTCACTGTCAGATCGCTACTAAACTTCAAAGGAGTTCTGGATTTCCTGTGTCCTCTTGCCAAGAGAGTTTTTAATGAAGAACCAATATTGTGATAATATTTTTCTGCCATCTGTTTTATCCATCTCCATAAGCACCTAGTTAATAAATTTAATCCAAATAATAATCAAATGGTGGGGAGAGGGAATCCCTCTGGCTGGGTGACGTCAACTGAATTTAGGCAATTTAAGCACCTGACTGAAGTAGTTAATTTGAAAGCACAGTCATCCTATGCATCCTATATTGTCAGTACAGCAGATGTGCCTATCTGGAAGGTCATTTTAATGCCGGATGGGCAGAATCACCTCAGTGTTTCTCAGTTAGTTACGGAAAAAAGGCTAAGGAGGTAATTTTTCCTAACATAGGCAGTTGAGAGGAACTCCTGAAACTATACAGGATTACTCTGCCTCTAAGAAGTTCAGAAGCTCAGGCCCCACATGACCTCTCTTCACTCCAGTGTCCCACACTTAAAACCAGGTCCACTCTATAATACCACAGTGACACACACTGCTGCTGTCTCCAGCAACTATGCACCTAGACTCAGTGCAGAGATACTCAGATTTGCTTGAAATTAGTTAAGTGGAGCAGGAGAAGAAGATTAACAGGCTTATTCTTCAAATGTTTAGGTTTTGCAGTCTGCATTTTGCTTCACATCTGCCTACTTCAAATTTCCCTCAGGCATGTCTACGCTGAAGCTACTGTGGTATTGCATAAAAATATAGCCAGAAGGTAAGATCTGAAGTGCTGAGTGCTTTTCATAGGCACGTTAGCAGAAAAGGTACAGAGATTACATTCTGTGGTTAACTCAGCTTTCCTTCTACTTCCTCAAGTCACCTTCCCTGTAACTTGATTTCAATTTTGGGTGAAGGAATTCAGGCCACACACATGGTGCTAGTTATTAAAAGAGGACTGCATCACAAACATATGGCCTTGGTAATACAGAAGGGGAAATTCACAGTGTTATATAAAAGACTGCAGGGAGATACAAAAGTATTTATAGCAGAATGTAAATAATTAATACTCAAAACATGGATTATTACATATACTTTTGAAACTTGACCTGACAAAATAAACAAGTTGTATACATGAGACAAATATTTAAAAAAAAAAGTTCATATTCCTATGAACTTGAAAAATCCAGTAAGTTAAATCCAGCCAAATTAGTAGTGCAGTTATAATTAATATTAATACACAATTCTATTGTCCTAGGGATTCTGTTAATTAGTAAAAAAAAGTTGGTTTAATTTACCAGATAAACATTAGATCACAGCTGTTTTATTTGCCTTATTGAATCCTACTGATTTTGCATCCTGAGAATGTAAAAGATGCCAGAATTACACTACTGATGTAAAGTCTGTGACACAAACAAAATCTAGGCACAGAGGTGATACTGGGACAGTGCTGTATCTTAAATAGTACATGGAAACTAATGCTGTGTGAAGGTGCATTTGAGAATGTAACTACAAGTCATAAGAATACAGGTCTCTTAGGAGCTACAAATGATCCCTTACAGGAAAAGGAGACCAACTATGCAGTGCTGCACACATATGATATTACTGAATAAAATGAGGCAGAGATGGTAGGCGATGGTTTCATTTTACCACCTCATAATACAGGAACCATAAGATAAATAAGACATTTAAAAGTAGAAAAAGGAAAAATATTTTACGTAAGAGATATATAAATGTGTATTTCATTGCTATTCAACAACATGAAAGACAAGAGCTTAGAGGGTTAAAAACCTGAATACTTATGTGAAGACTAGAAAAAGGCCTAACTAGGAGGTGTATAAAAAGCATCTGCAGAAGCAAAATATGCCCTTACATTTACAGGAAAAAGCAGAAGGGTGAATAGCACATTAATCTTCAGCTGTTCCTCGAACTTTTGCTTAAGTATCTGACACAGGATACTGCCTGGGCCCTCCAGCTGACTGGACTGCTGATGGGTGGTAACTCCTGTCTTACTGCAAGTGCCACTGAAAAAAACGTCTGTCTTACAGACACTAAACATGGAGCCCTACTTAGCTATTAGGAAGTGCCTTTGCTGTCTTCCCTGAAAGCAGAAGCGTTGCCCAGAATAAGTCACGGCAACTTGCACAATGCACAGGCATCAGGAAGAGAAAAATGACTGAGCCAAAGACAGGAGCAGACATTCAAATAGAAGTGCCGTTGTGACACGGGAAGGTCAGTGTGCCTTACACTGCTGGCTGTCCACCCAGTATGGGGACAGCCAACCTGTAAGAACGGGTTGCACGCCTGACTGTTACAATGACAGACACAAATCTTCTTTTTCTATAACCAGAGTTATCACTCCTTCCTCTCCTCCACCTCAAAAATAAATGAACACATTGTATGTAAACACTTGTCATATGCTGAAGCTCAGCAACAATGTCCCATTTCTCTTCCTTCCCCTCTAATACTGGGGCAACAGCCATCCCCACTAATGCTCTATAGCATAGTACCAACATGAAAACAACAACAAATGGCACAGTTTATAACCAGACGAGTGGTAATTGTGGCTGTCACAATAAATGCCAGAGAATTTTAAGGAGGCATTCCCGGCTTGTTTATTTTGATCATTCATAATAATAAAGGCTGTGGCAATTGGGTGTCTTAATTTTCCTACGAGTACTTCTCTTGAAACAGTACTCTCCAAAATGTTTCATCAGAAAATTAAATGCAACATCATTCCAGGAAGGAACGGCTTTGCTTCTTTCAGCAAAAATAAAATCATCCTGTCTCCTGCAGTCAATCCCTTCTTTTTTTTTTTTTCTTTTTTCTCCCTTTGATAACATGTGAATTTCTGCTAGTTGGCTCTCCTTACTGTCCCCCCTTCTTCTCCAGTGCCTGGAGATCTTCTCGGGATGGAGGAGGCAAACCGGTCCCATTCTACCTACCTCTTGGAAGGGTATGGTGGTCATGTTCTCTGGGGCAGAATTTCTGCTCTAAGTAGGGTGCTGGCTCCCTCCTGTAGCTAATGAAACAGGATTCCTCTTGCTCAGTAATGTGCTTGCCAGTTAGCTTGCAGCACAAAAGCTCCTGGGCACTTTATTACTAATAGGGGATCTGGATGCTAATGGCATAAAGGAAAAGGCTGCACAAGCCAGGTGCAGATACTTTTAATCCTGGCCCATTTCCTGCTTTTCATTTTATATTTGTTCCTATCGTTCTCTCTCCCAACTGGGAAGTACCCTTTTTGGTACCCAGCATGCAGACTATAAGCAGAAATCCAGTTCCGGAGGTTCTGGTAAAGCAAACAAACCTTTATTACAGTTTGCTCTGAAGTAACTTTGCTTTTATCTTATCAGCATTAGTCAATGTGTATCCTGTTACCACCTAAAAGTACACTCCCACTACTCCCAGTTAGCATTCATCCACTCATCTTTCCCCCTTTCATTTCTGCTGCCTGTTCTTCAGCAGCACACTTTGTCTTCCCTTTTCTCCATACAGCTGCATGCATAAAATTCTAAGAGAAGTAGTATTCTGAAACAGACTATTCATCCATTAGATTAATTTTCATCTCAAAATCTGGTTTAAACAGAAAAGAATATACATAAAACCATATTAACATGAATGTTTGCAACTAAGGAAAACATGGACAAATTTCAATTCAGTATCTGTTGACCTAAATATCTACACAAAGAAAACAAAGGCTTGATCTTTCCTAACATATTCTTAGGTGTATACACATGCAGACATACAGAATGTCCTTTAAGGCTCAACACATCCTTGTTGACACTGAAACAAATCTGAAGATATAAGCAACAAGATGCTTATATTCCTGAACATTCCCAGGGACTTGAAAGGTTCTTCCCTCATTGAAAACTGTGTTTACAGATAAAACAAGAAACAACTCAAGATTTATTTTTTTTTTTAAACGGATGCCACTAAAATCATGTCAAATCATTTTTACTTCAGCTGACATGATAGACTGGACAGCTCAGCACATTACAATTTCTGTTCTTCACTAAATTTACAAAAGCTCATTCCAACCTAAGAATCTTGAGGGGTGACAATATAAATCCAGTTGCCAATACAAAGGTGAGCAGATGGTGTTGCTCTGCTGGGGAGCCGAGATGGAATAGCACATAAATGAGAAAGCAATCTCCTGATGGTTTGCTGTGTTTAATGCCTGAACTGAGAACTGGAGCTGAGCCAACGTGGCTTCCAGCCAAGGTCTTCACAGGATTCAAAGGAACCCCACGGCAGTTTCCATTCGACATTAGCTACCAAATTAATATTTGCAGGTAGTCCTAAAGTACTGAAATAAAGTACTGATTAGTACTGCTTAATGCAAACCACAGTGAAAGGGAAGACATCGTCCTTTTTGACTCAGGAGATCAAAAATTAATCCCTAAAGCTGCCCTCTTGCCTCTTTTGTCAGTTTTGCAACAATTGTTTGGTATGCACAAGTAATTACAACTATTCCATTTAAGATCTCTAGAACTGCTACTCTCTCTAAATGCTTTTATTTTTTCATCCTTTTTTGCTTTATTAAAACTGTGAAGCAGTATTAGGAGCAGATCTAATTTCCACCAAAGTCAACAGGGGTCTTTTAGTTGACTTTTCTGGTGCTTGAATTAGGTCCATAAGCAGTGAGTAAACAGGTAATTCAGTGTTCAGCACCTCTTTCCAGAATTAACATAGCCACTGTTTCAGGGGAAATGTTAATTGTCACTCCAGTAAGCAAGGTCTCCAGTCACCAGAAGAAAATTCATAATGTGGATGCAGCCCCACTCTGATCACAAAGGAAAAAGTATCTGAATGCATATGATTAAAATTTAAACCCATGTTGATTCAACCATCTCCTTCCTCCTCCTTACCCTTTTTTACCCTCCTTCGAAAGGCAAAGTGCATTTCCACTTAAGATAATTTCCATTTTTCACTTCAAGGTACTAAGGTGCATCCAGTGCTATAAAGCAAGCCTTTCGGGTAGGTATGGGGGAATGAAAGTGACTGTAAATCTATACTCTCACTGTGTGGACCTACTGTTCAAATCAGCATTAAGTGGTATTTTGAGAATATGCTGCTTTCTTACAGAGCAGAGGATATACAGAGATGGCTGACCTCATTCTTCAGGTTTCTTGCCAAGAAGTGTTCAGCTACGTGGGCTGGAAGCACATTCTCCAGAAGCACCCGGTTTAGGTTCTCCATGGTTTCAATCTCCTCCCGCTCTTTTTTGAACTTGTTCTTCCACAGGAAGTCTAACCTACAGTAATATTCATTCTGTTACAAGAGGACACAGAGGTAAAGAAACAATAGGCATCTTGTCCTGCTGGAGTATAGGTTTAAGAGACAAAATAAGCACAGTACACCACCCCTGCAAGGCTATTACTTGGCCACTCAAGTACAATTCCAGATCCCACAGAAATCAAACCCCAAGCACACACTATGTGACATACATTTCATCAAACTTATAAGGCCCCCCTACAAAAAAAGGCCCATAAAAAGGCCCAGGAAAAAAATAAAGTTGCAAGGTGCCTTAAACAATGGAAGACTTATTTATTTACTCTCAGGCTTTAGTAGAAATTCATTCCAGAAATCAAACACTGTTATGGAAACAATTTACAGTTTTGCAACTTAATATGATGTCTTATTTATCTGAAGTGTAGAATTGCACTTACAACAACGGGCATTTCAGGAAGACCCTAACTTTTACCAACTTGAACTTATGCAGTCAGCCTGGTAAAAAGGGGACAGTACAACAGTAGTAATCCAATGGTTTAACGCTATCACGCAGCCTCAGTGAAGACTATGCTATTAACCAGGAGAACATGATTATGATGACAATCTTCTTATAGAAAACCTAAGAATGCTAGCTAGTATTATTAGCAGTCAGTAAGCATTCACACCAAAATGAGAGTAGTCCTTCTGATTGGTCAGTAGCTCTCACAGCTCAAAATGATTCATAGATATTTTGTTGAGATCACAGCCAAAGCTAGAGTAGAAATTTGAAATGAGATGGTATTAAAATGATTTGGCAAGCTTTTAAATATGTATATTATACATTTATACATCTAAGTTTCCCACATAGATGATAAATTCAAATGGCACCAACTGTATTCATGCAGAAAAAAATCCAATAAAAACCTGGGATGTCAAAATTATTTGCATAAATTGACAAAACTAAACTGGATGCCTGGCATAAAGCTGAAATTCGGTATCCATATATATTGTACCAGCTTTGTATTGAAAAGAAAAGGTGCTAGATAAGCTGAAGTCTTCAAAAAGATATGTTTCTTCTTTAAGAGCTAATATTAAACAGATAATTTATTTACTGCTTTATTATTTATTGAATGAAATTTAGGCTGCCACTAAAAATGGCAGAAGGAACTCAGAAATCAGAAAAAATAAAGCAAAATGTATTCTACAATTTGCTTTGAAATTAAAAAAGTCAATGTATCATATTTCAAAATGCCTAGTCAGACTTTTAAAAACAAAAAGCACTACCTTATTAAAACTTACTTTAAAACATGGATTTTTTTGTTTGTATGATCTAGCCAATTTTGTATACATGTCATTAAAGATCCTGTTCAATCTTTGTAGCCTTTCAGTCATATGGAAACCAAGACTGTTTCCTACTTTACATGTTATCTCCAGAACCTTTTCAACATATCAGAATGAAAATATCTCAGTATGGCTCTTATACATCTGCAGGCACAAGATCCTTGAGATACAAAATTTTCCTTCTTCACCTTATGCTGCTTTACTTAACAGCACTTCCCAGCGGGTGAGCATAGTGGAACACCCAAGGAGGGATGAAGGACACTGTGTTCCTCCAGGCACCACAGAGCAACCAGCTTCCTCCAGGACAAGAGACTACCATGCATCTGTGCAAGGCAATGCAACGCAACCCCAGAGGTTCAAATCAGCGGTAATTTCTTAGGCAAAAGTAGTTAAGTGCAACAAGAACTGATTCATGTCTCATTGATTACACAGAAATAGGTTTATCTATGTTTTTAAATTCTAGTGGGACACTCACCTGGGTCTATTTTCAATATTTGCCTGAGTGAGGCAATGAACTAATTCTCCTCACTGAAAGAATGTCACATAGAAAGTCAAGATAAACAGCTCAAAAGTAGCTGCCTATGCCACAGGCTTCTGCAGTCGGGGAGATGAATGCTATGGCATTCAGCAAAGGGGCAGCAAAGGCAGCACTAAAGCAGGTAAGATCACTAGAAATTAATGGGCTTTCATTCAGGTGAGGGAGCTAAGGAGATTCCCCCTCACGACCATTACTTACAGACAGCAAGTCTGAGAAACTGCATCAGCACATTAAGAAGTTGATCAACAAGAAGTCATCAGCTCTAAAGTAACCAAAATGGAAAGCTGCTGGTCTGAAACTTGTGGTGGATAGCCTGAGCATTCAAAACAGCCACAGTATCAGACAGCTGACAAATAGTAAAGGTATAACGTAAATCTTTAGAAAAGAACTGGGGTGACCCTGGGAACAATAGAGCAAGGTACTTCAGAAAAAAACTATGCTAAGTAAAAGAGCTATTTAGACATATTAGCTAAAGTTGATACAATGGGGATGAGTTGACACCTCTTCTGTAAACATGCCTCCATCTGTTATGAAGAAGTCAATGGTCATGTGAATAGGAGTGAAGTCTGAAATAAGTTTTCATTTAATTCTTTCAGAAGAGGCTCTTGAAAAGACTACATTATCTAAGAAGGGAAGGTTTCTCTCACAGAACAAAAGCTCACTAAAAAACAGAACAGAGACTACAAATAACAGTTTTCACGGCTGAGGGAAGTTGCCATAAACATCTGGGCAGTAAAACAGCCAATGAAGTTCAGTGTGGATAAACACAATATAATCAATCGTAGGAAAAACAAAATATTCACCTAGCCTACAAAGTAACGGGATAAGTGTAATTTTAAGTACTGGTGGGAAAGGAATTCACAGTTTATGTCAATACTGGTAATACAAACTGGGCTGTAAGAGAGATTTAACTCTCAACAGCATTTACATGTGAGCACACTCCTTACACAGTCTAGCACATACCAATCTGCATTCTCCTGGGCAATGCCTGGGCAGGGTGCAAGAGTCGCCATTCTCAACATATCGTCTGCCTGCTGCCAGCCTATTTTCAATAACTCTAACGGCATGCATGCAGAGTGAAATGTGTCACTTGATCTCAGTGTCAGGGAATGGTTGTAGCCTACACTGGCATGACCATCAAAAAAAAGCAGTTCTACTTTCTCCAGCTCACTGCTGCCTGCTCACTCCCATCCTATGCTCATTCTTTTGGCACAAGCATTGCTGCAGCCATACCATAAAACCAAATCACCAAATAGATCTGGCTGAAAATCAACCATTTTTCCAGGGTTAATTTTTAAGCCAGATCATTTCCCTATTTTCAGCTACTATACAGCTCTGCAGGCAGCTGTGCCAGTACAAATGAGGAGATGCAAGGATAAGAATGAGTAGTAGCTGAGGGAAGGCCTACTTCTTTCAGTAGGGATGCTGGTTGAGCAGCTGAAAGTATTAGTTGAACCCGAGAATTAAGTTGGCTCATAAAACACGTAATGATATACTAGCTTGCTCTCTCTTCATCCCCGTTCAACCAGAGACGCATATCCCCCCTCCTGCTTTTGCATCTGGACAGGCATCTCTGACCAGTGGTGGGCAGGTTCACAGAGCTAGGCTTGTAGGAAAGCATTCACTTTTTGTTTAGATTAACTTTCTATTTACTCACTCTGGGGACAGAGAAGCACCAATGCCAGCTTAAGGGAAATGGAAAGACCACCCTTTTCATCAGTGGCTATTATCTTTAGTATTGTTAAAATAATCAGATATTAAGAGAAGAGAAAAGACATGTTGTTATCTTCAAAGTAGAAAAATGCAATAGCAGAGAAATTACTTGTATATTACCCTCTCTGGAAGAAGGGTAAGGAAGAATTTTACTTTGCCTACACTGCCAAGATGGCTCGACAGCATTCTGCAAGTGCCACTCAATGGAAGTAGCAAGCAGAAAGCTTAAAAACAAGAAGACGGACACTTCCACTTGACTTTTTCTCAAATTGTGAAATTCATTCTCAGACAGTGTTGGGAAGACCAGGAAGATCAAATGGGTTAAAAAGGGATCAGACAGTGTAACAGGAAGCAGAGCAGCCAATAGTTATTAAACGTTGCCACAGAAATGCCGACTGGCGGAAGGTGGGAAGCCTATGTCCCTGGAAGCGTCAATTTATGCAGGTTCCCTTCCTCCCCTATTCTTTTCCCAAGCATTTGCTACAAGTCAGTATCACTAACAGTAACTTAACATGACAGGTCTTATGCCAGGTATGTATTAAAATTAGTGCATAACATTTTCTAGTTATCATCTAGACTTTGCCTGAGAGCGTTTGAAAACACAGAGGTTTTCTCCTCCTTCTTTAATGGAGAATAAATTAGCAGAAAAATCAAAGGCAAAAGACTGATGAGCCTCAAACAAGTGACATCACAACAAAGATCCTAGACTACAGTTCTGAAAACAAAGACTTTTTCCATTACAGCATCATTTTTCAGTTGGTGTGACAGGGAACAACACACACACTGTTACTGTATGCAAAAGCAACTTTCTTGTTGACATGACTGAACCCCCAAAGAAATGCTCTCCTTGCCCAGTGAAGATGACATTCCTTCTCTCCTTTTTCCTTGTTGTTGCATTCACTACCTTCATCTGACACCTTGGTTGACAGGGACTAAAGGTTCTCAACTGGCGTGCTGAAGTACTTATCCCTCTTTCCGAGTGGAAGTAGCTGTGCTCCAGCCTCACTCTGCTACTATCATCAAATGAGCAAACTCTAATACGGTGCTGGCAGCAAGGCAGATGAAGACTGCTATTTCTAACTCAAGAAGGATGTTCCCCACTACAGCAAATACTGGAAAAGCTGCCAGATAAGAATTTTTTGTCTAGTAACCTGCGGGGCCTGCTTGGCAATTTAAATGACAGTCATGTTTTGGGGAATTGTAATGTAAATGAGTGATTTAAAGACAGTCTTCCCAAGGCTGCAGGCTATGGTGGTACAGGCTGTTCATAACATCTCACATGGATTGCCTCTTCCATCTCGGAGCCCTGTCTTGCGCACTGCATTGTTCCTGGCACAACCGGCTGGAACTGCAGCTTTTAGCCATGGATCATGGACAGACCCGAGGATTTAGAGAAAGAACTGCCCTTACACCTGCCCTCACCTTTGTAGAGAGTAAGACCACTGATACCACGTTTGTCCTGAAAAAGCACAACTGGGTAATAAAAAGAGTAGCTTCCTGTGGGGTCATAGTTTTAGTGCAACTGTGGCCTCAGCATGGGGTACACTTCTGTGTGCATGCTACACTGTTTCTGTGTCTGCATCAAATGATAATAACTGCGAAGAAAATAGCTTGTAATTAAGCAACTAGGGAGACAGCAGATGGATGCAGACAGATGGGAGCACACTAGGAAGCTATGAGACAATACTGGTCAGCATGACAAGCAATAGTCACAGCACACCATCAGCATAGTGTCTACAGTCTCAGTGACAGTTATTGGTGAGTTTTAAGGGCATACTGGAAGGTAATACAGAAAATAGCTTTTTAGATGCTTCTGACAATACTTTGCAAGGGTGTGGGGCAGAATGGAATAAAGGTGTTTGTCAGAAAACCTGAAAAATGTTTGAGAGGGTGGCAGGTTGCATGTGGAGGCTGGCATTGTGTCCACTAATGCAGATGAAGGAAGTATGCATCTTACCTGTCTACCCAAAACCAGTAACGTGACAAAGAATATAAACAAAGAAATTGAGCCCATTGTCTTCAGGTCTTTCAGTATTCCTGGCCTATAAAATAAAAACGTAAGTAAAGCAAGCTGCCTAAAAGTTAAAACAAAATTACTTTAGGACAAGAATAAAACTGCAATTTATACTACTTTCTGGTATGTAAACTAAGACCACTTAAATACGATATACTTTATTATTTGATGAAATATTATTATTTCCATAATGAAGTTTTAATTAATTCTACTACATTCTGTGCAAATGTGCCTGCACTTTGAAGTCCAATACTAAGATGAGGATTTAGCAAAAATAGTATCTTTGTTTGCTTACAAATGGAGAGCATTTGGTGCTTATTCTATACAGAATTCTGAACATTCTATATATTCTGTATATTCTAAACAGAAAAAAAAAAGATTTTTTCTGCAATAACACTACTTCCATAATGGAGAGCTGGACCATATCCAGTGAATGTGAAGAAATGGAAACTAAAGCACCCAATTCCCAAGATGACTTTTCATCTCAGAATTAGAGGAGGCACAAACTAGATCTTGTACAGAATTTATTAAAATCTCTGTTTTGGGAAAAGACACCAGAGGTAATGGGAGACAATTCACACTAGCACTCTCCTACTGATGCCACTGAAAGAAGAACCTTGATGAGAAATTTAGGAAGGAAAATACCAACACACAGCTTGACTGGCAAAACCAAGGCTGCCAGAAGCACATGCTAAATCTAACCTGTCATGTGGTATCATCACAGAGATATCCTTTCCACTAATGTAATGGAAACACAAAGACCTGGGCTTGTTTATTTAATCTTTAGATTTAAGCGCAAAGAAAACATGCACTTTTTGTAATTCAGATCCTTTTCCACAGTTGTCTCTGTGTCCTAAAGAACTCAAGCAGTTTAGAGCACAGGAAAAAGGATACTGAAACTCTGCTCTGAATATTCAGTTTTTCTGTTGTGGCATATGCACTGCACACTCAGCCTACATAGAAGAGAATCACCTTTTTCTTTTGAAAATGAGGTAGAAATTACATGTGTCCAAAAAACATTTTACACAGCAATACTTAGAGTAATAATTCTGGTCTTTTGTAATATCACCTATAACAAAGACTTCAGCAGTCTCACTGAAAATTTAACATACAAATTTGCAAGCACAGCAAAAAAACAATCCAAAGTGTAAGTCTACTATTTTTTTCAATAGCTAAGACTGAATTTGTAAAGTTTTAAGACAATATACTAGTTCCGAGAAAGTTGATTTTCTCTGGCTTGCAGCAAATATGCTTTAACAGCCATAATTATATTCAGCCTTAGGCCTTAACAACCTTAATGATGACTTCTTCCTAATGTTCTTTATTACAAAAACGCAAATTAAACCATACTTTATTTGCTATAGTACGTGATTTAAACACCTTGCCCACACTTGTTTATTTTATCCTAATGCTCTCAGGTGTGACATTAAATCATGTATTAACAGCAGCATGACAATGATTATAAACTGTGACTTACAGATTATGTAGCCAAACACATAAAAAAAAAAAAAAATCCGTTCCATGACTTAAGAATTGCCATAGGTAGTATTTAATTTCTATTAATTTCAGAAGGACTGGAATTATCCACCTACCTTCTGAGAGGTGCCATTGCATACATAAATTTGCTGTAGTCATCCAGCATAGGCCCGTGAGTGTGCAGAAGGATAACATTGTAGCCCACCAATGCAATCAACATTATCACCATTTTCAACTCATAATTTATCCTCAGGAAAACAGAACAGGAAATGAGCCCTAATATGCAGCTGTATATAAAATACTGGAAAAGAAAAATCAAATGGAAAATATTTAGAATTTGGCTATTGAGTAGGAAATAAAAAATAAAAATAATAAAAATGCCCTGGCCAGTTTAAAACAAATTATTGACTGACCACTTAAGCACAGAATCTATCACAACATGTAAAGAATCAAAGTACCTGCAACATTATGACTTTCAGATAGTAACAACCAGGTGTCGGTATTTCCTAAAATAGACCCTATTACTTACTAGGCTCCAACTCACCCAAAACTCAGTAGAATCCAGATTATGCACCTAATTTATGCTGCCTAATTTTCATCCTTTGTCACTTTTGACTTACTTGTCTTCAGTAGCGAGGAGTGCCTATACACAGGATACTGCTACTGGTGTTTAAGTCTAATGTGAGAGCCTACTGCCAGCAGACTGACAGAAGATTTATTCCTGTGCCACTGTATGGTTTTCACTCATGCTGGAGTTGAATAAGTACCCAGTACATATTAGTAGCATAAGGGTCAAGGTAAAATGTCTAAAGATCTGAAAACAGTAATTTCATTGCCTATATTTGCAGTGTTTATAAACTGATGCAATACACACAGTTGTTATGAACCTCACAGATATGTAATTTTACAAACTGTAGAAATATGGCTAAGACATGAAGAATATAAAATTATCAACATCCTTCTGTCAAATCTTCTTGATTTATGACTACATAAGAATACATTTAATTGTTAAAAAAAGTTTTTTCTTTCCGATGTCATATATATCAGCAAAAATATCTATGGCTGAAGTTAAATTCCTTGAAAAATATTTTCTCTGGATACTTTCTGGAAATGGATTAGGGCATCAAAATTAATGCTAAAACAGAAATAATACATTCTCACTAGAAACATTATCTTGGTCCTTAGGATACAGCACCTTTGCCAAAGATGCTTGCTGAAAATTACAGTCCTGTACCTTGTACAGAAATTACCTTTTCTGAAACTACAAAGCATTCTATTTCTACATATGCTATTTGCAGATTATTGTTGACTTGTTGATGGCAGTACTTTTGACAGAACCTGAATCACTGTATATTAATTTTGAAGGATCACTGAGAAGAATATTTTTCACTGTACCCATCAGACAGAATTGACCTGCCATCTGAATCTTTGCCGTTACTGTAATTTACTTGCAGATCTGCTTGAAATAAGAAATAGAAATAACGGCTGTTCAGAGTCACCAAAAATAAAACTCTGACGGCTGCATTCCACAGGAGGTCACACTCCAAATTCAGTGTTATGTAAAAGAAGCAGCAACCATTTTTCACTCTGTAAGGCATTCTACTCGTGAAATTAGTTTTCCAAAAAGAAACAAGCAAACAAAAGGCCGTCTTGAATCCACAACTGGATGCAGTTTGACAAAGACCAAGAAACTTCCAAGTGGAATAGATGGTCTCTGCTAGCGTTCCATAGGAATACAAAGACTAGATTGAAAATTTCAGCTAAAATTTCAGACAAGGGTGAATGGATTAGAGAAGAGTGGCACAGCCATACATTTAAGAATGTAGACTCCGATATTGTGTATTGCAATGCAAGATTCCAGTAAGCAACAAGCAGATCAGGAAATGAGTCTGTAGGCAACCCTGCGTGAACAGCCACACCAGGTTATGATGCTTCTTTTTGAAGATGCCACCTTAAACCTTTTCCAACTGTAACTTAAATATATTCAAGGCTATTGTTTCTGAGTGCTCAACACTGCAAATGGATTTTTCAGTTCCTGGAATGGAACTGAAGGAACTGAAATTTCACGCTTTTAATAAAAGAATTTGCGAGTTTAGCAGACGCTTAAAGTATTGTAGCTTGAATCCTTCTCTAACCCTTTCAGCTTTTCAGACTAATGCAAAAAGGTTTGGGTGAGCTATGCTTCTTAGTTATCAGACTGTTTCCTGCTTTTTAATCTGACATTCATTAAAACCTCTATTTTCAGAAGTACTAACCTCCTCTAACTTCCCACTTCCTTCAAATGCAGTTGCAGATGACTGAAAAAATATTAAGCTTTTGCTGCAGTCTTAAAAACTGGTGGGTGTTTAACTTCAAGCAGATACAGCAACAGTCAATTTACTGTAATTGTTGTAAACAAAGAAATGTAAAATGAACTTACCGGTAGGAAAAAACAGTTGTTTTGTATACACCACCGTGTCTGATTACTTGAATTAGGAAAACTTGCATTTGATGAATTAAGAACTGAGGGGAAAGCTTTCACAGCATTATCCAGGAAAAACTAGAGAAAAAACAACATATAATCCATTACCTTGTTAGCTGTTTAAGGTCAAAATAGAGAAGAGAAATGAAGAAGTGGAGAAAGCCTTGCCAGTAATCATTTAACTTTGGTATTTCACTGCAAATTGAAATAGAAAAGGGAAAATGACATCACTTGATTAGTTGTTCCTGCATGCTGAGACAAAAACAACTTTGTTAGCCTCCATCTGACACTTTCCATTTGAATAAAAGACCAAAGGCTCTTTGTTATGTTACTTTCACATATCAGAAGCTCACATACATGAGAGATGATGAAATAAATTCAATATGAATAATCCCTGGGTTTACCTCAACTGAACCTTCTATTTAAACACAGGAAGAATTAAAGAAAGAATAAGATGTCTTTGTTGAAGTTGGTTTACACAGATGTAATCCTTCTTATAGTAACAATGACAATAATATTGGTACTAATGTTATTGAAACGGAAGAATGGAACCAGTATCTCCTGGGTCATCAAATTTAGCCAGTTGATGTCACGGGTAACCACCACCATACAGTACCCTTTGATGTACTGACCCAGTGCTTTCTTCATAAGTTCAATTTGAATACATTAATTCCACTGCTTTGAATCTCACCACTTAAACTGTTTCTGAGTTTAACCAGTATTCATGGCCAGCTCCCCTGTTTTTTTTCCTTCTTGTGCTAATCTCATCCTTTAGCTTTCAGATAGCTCCTTTCTCTCCCTAGTATTTACGTTGCCAATACTTAATGCCATCTCAGCCTTCACTATGCTCAGCAATCTATGTTTTTCTAGTTTCTTCCCAGAAAACAAGCTCTTCATTCCTCTGACCATTCTAGTAGTCACCCTCTGTACATACCTCTTTCAATTCAACCTTCTGGGTGACTAAAACTGTAAAGACACTTCCCAGATTTTATCAGTGAGTTGTGCAATAGCATTAATACTAATTCTACAGAAAATATGTTTTCATACATCCTAGAATGACAGCTCCCTTGCTCACAGCTACAAAACCTTAGTAACTCACCATACCTCACGCAAGTGGGGCTCAGACAGATCATGAAGTTACAGCAGCTTAACACGTTGCTGCACACTGACATAATCCCAACCCCTAACATCGTGCTCAGCAAATGTGAGGTAGTTTTCCTTCGCTGGGGATCACTTAGCTAAATGTGGTTTATACTTACCATGAGTTAAGAGCAGTCACATGGGTGGTTATTGTCATTCAGCTGAGTTGTCATTAAACCCACATAATTAATCAAAATCCTGAAATCATGGCATCTCTACCTGATGATCTTCCAACTTTTATCAGAATTTCTTGTCACTGGTCTGTCAGGCCAACCATAATCTCGCACTCTGTACTAAATTTCATCCTAGTTGTTTTACTCCAATCCTCAGCTGACTTCTTCCTTTCCAAAATCCCAAGCCTCCCCTCACAGACATTGCCTGTCACCTTAATTTCATCAGCGAATTTCACAGTCCCTCTCATATGCTCTATATGAAAATCCACACTGGGCTGACTGTTGCAGAGCTCCACAGGTTGCCTCCTTCTCACCCGCTGTTCTCTGCACGTAGCCTGTTTGTAACCCACCTTTAAGTTCTTTTCCCATCGCTGTCTTTACCTACTGCCCCAGAGAAAAACTGCTCAGTTCGCTCAGAGTAACCAAATCCAATCAAAATGGTTTATTGATTTCCTTACTAACACTAGATCTGGTCAGCCATAGCTCTCTGTAGCCACATCCTGAAAACTTCCAAGGATGGAGCCCCACAACCCCCCTCGGCAATTTTTCCCAGTGCTGTACTACCTGCACAGTGCCTTTTTTTTTTTTAAAGACTATCCAGCCTGCCAGGCTACCACCCATGGTCAGTGCCCCTGGCTACGTTTTGTGGCGCTGCTGAGAAGAGTCTGAAACCAGTATCAACGTAACACCCCTTCAGCAGAAGCAGGACTGGTTACGTGCTCGTGAAGGTGATCAATATGCCACCTGTTACCACGACCGCTTTATAAGAAGTTGGCACGACCTGTGGAGCAACATGCAGAATGGGCTCACCTTTGTTTGTTTGCACTTTCAGGTTGTCTCCCTTTACAAACACGCTGCACATAATTAACCCGCAGTCAGTGAACTATACATTCAGGATCAGTATCAGTAATACGACAGATAAATCACAATACCAGACCCTACAAAATGTTAATAAACACCTACACATTTTGAAACATCCTTCTGTAACCAATCCCGAAGAGCTCTAATCAGGCACAGACGCAGAACTCTAAAGGCTGTGTGGCTTAAACACACACTCTCCCACTTCTGGGAGTGGGGGTTACCCTACTTGCGCAGCAGAGGTAGGTGCTCTAGCTTTACGGGTACCTGCGCTGCTCTGCACAACCCGTAGACGCCCGAGCTGGTGAGAAAGCGCCGGGCGAGCTCCTGCGTGGGGACAGAGCCGAGGCGTGGGTCCCTGCGGGTGCTCCGTGCCGTGCCCCCCCACCTCCTGTCCCGTGGGGGGCCTGCTCCCGCTGCCCGAGGCGGAGGCGTGATGCCGGAGGGGTGACTGGGGGCACTGCCGGACCACCTTTTGGCCGGCAGCACGTTCCACTCGTAGGTCCCCGCCTCCTGTTATGGATCTCCATGCTGGTTTTATACTTTTTTCCACGCTGTTTCCTACTTTGCTTCAAATTCCCTTTGAAGTGCCTTGGTTTGTTTAACCCAGCTGATGCTGGACTTCCTCTTTAACAGGAACCATTTGGGGCAAATGCCCTCCAGACAGCTTTTTAAAGCATTTAATCCCCCTCCCTGTCCCCAACTATTTACACGGACATTCTCATCTTAATAGGTGTTGTTAACCAGGTCATTTGCCAAGGGTGGACAAAGAGAGTCTCCACATCCCACTAATAGTGCATTTACTTTTTTTGCTAACATGAAATAACTGTATTTAGTTTCAGAATCCCATCCCACACACGTCCACAGACTAAAAGATTATGTACCACAAACTCAAACACAATTGTATTACATATACATATATATGTATATATATTAGACCCATTCTTTTCTGTTAAAGCATTTTAATTTTGTTTTAGAGGTTTGTACAGGGCATCTCTGACCTATAAAGGTTACCTGTATACACAGAATGCTATATGAAATGTGGCACATCTGTGAATACATAAATAAACACAGAAAGTGAAAAAAAGGATATGGCAGTGTTGTCATCTCCCATGAGCCAAACAACACTTATTTCTGAATGATGTGTTTGTACTTGTCTTTCTTGTCTCTCATCAGTTATCTACATCTGCTATCACGCTTCAGAGATATATATTGTTCTTCAACATAGTATTTTTTTGTAAGAGACAGCTCAGTCCTACTAAGCAGTCACACCTACTCAAATGACTCAAATGAAAGCAATATTTTTTATGAATACCAATGTTTGCCAGGGAACATCTGAGCACACTACCATTAAATTCTAACTTCATATATTCTAACAGCTTTTTCTTCTCTTGTGTTCATATAATCTGCAATCTTCAGTTGTGAGTTTTTTGCCTCACACAAGGACAATACCTGCTGTGCTGCTATTTCTTTCAACAGGAACCATGTGGTGACAGACCCTCCCCCACAACATGGGATAAGCAAGCTTGTGCATTTCGCTTGTTATCTGACCAAGAATCTGCACAAGACTATGTAATACACTAGGTTAGACCTTACTAAGAACAAAGCCAACCTTCTCACTAAGGTACTTTCAACCCTTCTGTACAATCCAGAAGGCACCAGAACTAAGGCTTCACAATGAACATGGTCCGACAGCCTGTAAACGTGGCCAAGTCGGATGGGTGGTATCTCACCTTACTAAGCAAGTGGGCTTGCTGATTTCCATGTTAATGTGCATAAAATAGCATCCTACTAAGAAGAAGGAAAGGTGGCAAAATTTAATATTAAGTGCACTAATCAAATGCACATTGAATTAAACAATTATGGAATAAACAATAAAACGTGCAAAGTTTCAATAGTTACTGTGTGAATGGGTTGACCCCTTGACAGGTGGGCAGGAGGGAGAGAGCTGGGAAATAGCCCTCCATGGAACTACGGAATCATAGAGTAAAAGGCAAAATTAATTGATTCAAGTACCACACATAGTTCAACTGTGGTCATCATCCTGTGGTAGCACGATGTCATGCAGTAGCCATCTGTAAAGACAAATCCTACTGTCATCTTCCATGCAAAAAGAAGGCATAGGCTTCCCTCAGAACACTAACAAGTGTGCTTTCCCACACGAGCGAGAAACCCCGCAGACCAGGGGTAAGGTCTTTAGGAAGTAGGTGCTCCAGGAACAGTGGTTCCAGAGCAGAGCTGTGCTTAACACCTAAGTAGCAAAAACAAAGGTCTGGTGTGCTACCAAAAAATGCAGCTCAACCAAATTTACAGCTTACGTTTAATTTGATCCCTTCACTGTTTTCTCTTCTTTATTATACAAAATTACACTGGAAATGGACTACAAAGACGAGTATAAAAACCATCTTTGTCGCTGTCCCTCTCTCTCCCTACTACCTCCTTGCCTGTATGAACACGCAACTATACTTTAAATTAATTTTCCACCGTTCCAGAAGAGCTATGCAATCTCCTCAAGACACAATGGTCTACAGTTTTTATAGTGTTGTTGTAAACAAAATTGTTCATGTTTGTGCCCTACTCTTTTGTTCAGCAAAAGATAGAGTGAGAAGAGTATACTTTTAAGTATAGCAGAAGCATGCAGGTCTGCTATCATGTTGAACTAGAGGATTTGCATTTTTCTTAAAACAAAAAAAATGAAGTAATGATGTTTTTGTTCAGCATTGCTCTTTTGTTTGAACCTCTAAGTCAAACATGCAGGACTCATCTTGTTAATTATAAATTTTTCTACCAACTCTCCAAATATCCATGTGGCTGAGGAGAACATTCTTCTCAAAATGTGCATCACTGCTTCATTTGAAGAATGGTAGTTGTTCTGATAGCTGAGTCAGGAATTTATCCCCAGACCCCCACCTGAATGCCCCAAGAATAATAGAGAATCGCAAATTCTGGTATCATTCCTCATCTTCACAAACTCATAAGCAGAAGTTTAAGGAGAGCCTGGAACGCTAAGTACTTACCTAGATTATTAAGGATTTTTTGAATCAATAAGAGGGTGATGCTGAGACATCAGTAAGTTGGAAAAGGATGATGAAGATCCAGAGTACTGCACTGCACTGAATATGATTTTTAGAGCATTTTGTCTCTGGGTTTGTACAAGACTTCTTAGCTTCCAAGTGCTCATGCATCTGCATTATTTGGTGTCCTGTGGTGTGTCTCTTGTTAACAGTCAAACTTATCAAACTCAAGTTGTTTGATAATTTCATTTCATTTTTAATAAAAGTTTGTGTGCTAAGTGAAAATGCATAATTATCTATGTGTTCCCATGTATCCAAGTCCCAGCCTCCCTGCAGAGGCAATATGCAGTGGCAAGCAACTGCCTTGTTCAAAGCTCCCAGCAGCATTTTGTAAGGGAGACGAGGAGCCTGCTGGGCCTTTACAGACTCACATACCATCATGGTCTTTGACACATACGGACTAATGTTCACTTATGTGGGTTCATCTTTGCTGGACTGTGGAGCAAACGATCGTGTGACAGCACGACTCTTATCTCTCCCTACGCACTTGAATGACACCAGAACTGCTGTAAACATTATTTCAGGACAGTTTGAGCCAAGTGCTTGCTATGTCACCTGCTAGTGCATCTCCTCTAGTCCAGTGTACCAAGACTGATACTGATTTTAGTAAGTTTCTTAAATTCTATCTGTAATATGGAATGGATTTGTGATGGGGCCCTGCATGTACCACTTAAATGACATGACTGCAGCTGTGCATTCCCCTTTCTCCTTCCAACTCCTCAGCCAGGTCAAGCTCTAGGCAGTGTTGGTTTATTCTTCTTAAAAGAAATGCATTAGGCACCCTCCAAAATAGGCTCTTCAATGTGCTAGTCACTGTAGGGACATATAACTACAGCGTATCTGCCAAAGAGCTTGCCTATATAAAGATGCAGCACTGAACAAGGTCAGCAACTGTATTAACAGAGTTAGCTACACTAAAAGGAAGGTAAATTAAATAAACCAACTTTCTACTATGAGACTGGAAGCAGGTTTGCTTAATTGTTTGTCATTATTAAAACACGGGATAACAGCCATGACTAGAGGGATAACAATATGGGGCCAATGGCAGCTCGTGCTCACAGACATACATTAAACAATGGAGCAGAAATACTCAAACCTCTGTCAGTCTTCACATTTCTAAAGACATGTTCTTTCAAAGGAGATAGTCCAGTTGTTCAAAATTCACTGGATGACAGACAGGAAAGCAAGTAACATCCTGACTCTGAAAGCTGGTAGTCAGGGCACCTTCCTGGGACAGTATAGCCCTGAGAACCTGTTGCTGTGCCAAGAACCATTCATGCAGTTGATGCAGAAGCCACTGAAGCAAAGAGCTCTTCCAGGGCTCTTTCATCGTGCCACTTGTACTGAGATCACATGAATCCCAGAGGATGGTGAGGCACAATCATTTGATGTATCATATACCATTATTCATTTAGCTTCCAAGAGTCAACCCTGTCCAGCCGTGCAGTCCCATTGTCTCTCCGAGATGTCTGGATTGTTCCCTGCAATACACGTTCTCATGTTCTATTTAACGCAGGTCAGCTTGGAAAAAAAAGTCTTCCTCAGCCATTGATTGTTGCCCTACTCTGTATAGCAGATCTAATGCTCAATGGAAGCAGCATTAGTCACCCTCTCCCTTCAGCTAAGAAGTATTTGATGCTTATGTCACATTAGCTGTTTTTTAACTTCCCTCCACTGATCATGACTATATACCTCTCAAACGTGAAGACTAGATTCAGATGCCTGCTGAAACAACTAATTTGAAATAAAATTGCACCCCCACTCTTTTCTAATGTCCCTTGACCATAAAGACTGAGCTTTATTTGACATTTTGGTCTTAATTATGATTTATTAGGTGTGGGATGGTTAGACGCTTTTTATCTCCATGAATTCTTAATGGCTACATTTTGCCTTTTTCTTCTGAAAGAGTTCATGGAAATAAATGCAGTTAATGGACTCTGCTATTAAGTACATGTTGCTTGGAGATATAATAATGATACTTCAGAGTCTCTCCCACAATTTGCTATTAATATTAAGGAAATGCAAATTTCACAATCACATTTAAAGTCATTTTTGCTAGTCAAACTATTAAGGTTTATTTTCAAGGTGGGAATTGTACTTAAAATTATCATCTCATGAATATCATGGAACATGATTATTTGTAATACTGCAGTCATTACTGATAAGGCGCAAAGGCTTTAAAATACAGCCTATTAAGTTTTACTGTAACATTCAGTCCACACAAAAGTGGACTTGAACCAATAAAATCAAAAACTTTTTCTAAAAATGATGTACTGAACAACTTTTTTGCTAAAATGTCTTTTACTAGTTGAAGGCAAAATTTGAAGTGGGCTGTACACAATAGTATAACTTCAGTCTAAGAAAAAACAGTTCCTGACCATATCTTCTTTCACACTTTTTAACTTAATAAATAACCATATGGTTGCATGAACTCTAACCCAAAGTATACTTTAAACCCAAGTAGGTTATTTCATTTCTTCTTATACATTTATAGAGTTCAAAATAAGACAAAGTCTAATCTGACCTACATTTTACAAGCTACTCCATCTCTGCGTTTTGTCCTGTAGTATGCCAAGTAATTTTTGCTTGGCTAAAGGTTATCATTCATAAGGGCATATAGTCTTCAGCTACAAGGACAAGAAGTGATGGAGAATCAACTTTTCAGAAGAATTTGTTCCCACTGCTAACGGCCTTCACTGCTAAAAAGTGAGCTTATTTTCTCATTTTCCAGCCACTGCTTCTTTGAATTTTTTCCATACCAGCCTTAAACACCAAATTCAATTAGCTGAATTTTAAATTCTCAAGCATGGAGTTGTTTTTGAGTCTATCTCCTCTCCTTAAAAAAAGCAGGAGAAAGAAAGGAAGATATCTACTTTTCAGTAAAGAAAACCAACAAAACCAAGATTAGGATCATTTGGTAGAAAAAATGGAGAGAAGGTTCTACCAGAAATTTCAAGTGTTCACATTTGAAATCCCACATTACATCATTCTGACAAGTTTAGTACTTACTGTAACAAATGGTTGTCTAAGGGTCTCCTGAAATGTTGTAGGAAAACAAAATAAGACAGTGTAGGTATTATCAATTTTTAAGTCCTTTATGAACCTCAAGTAACAAAAGTGCCAGAAACTCAAGGAAGCGCTAGAGTTGCAATTTCAAAAGCACTGAAGTGCAAATCTCACTCACTTGAAATGTGACTAACATCTATGCATTCACGTTGTAATGAAAACATTACCTAAATAAATATTACGGTTCCTTTTTTGCAGATAAAGAACTGAGCTGGAACACTTTCACAGGTTTACAAACAGAATCAGGCTCAGCCAACAGGGCAAAACAAAGAAAGTTTTTTGATCCCATATACTGCTCATCCCATTAGACAACATATCCTTCAGAATAAACGAGGACATTAAGATTCAGTCTTTAGGCAGACTAATGACAGATCTACTCTGTATTTGCTATAGTCACAAAAGAATAGAATTACATGGATTTTCCCCATTAGGAGAGAAAAGAAAAGCACAGGTTGAAATGCCTAAATTAGACGTAAGGCCTAACAAATTTGTAGTTCAGTACCTTTGAGGTTTTGATGTAACTTTTGAAATTTTTTCCTTTTTCAAAAAAAGAGACAAGCAAATGAAATTCAATAATGTATAAATTATGATCATTTTGTGATCAGCAGAGGAGCATCACAAATCTGAATAAAGCTTAGTTTGTTTCACACAAAGTCTTCCACACATCCTGTGAGGAGATACTTCATCCTTTGAGCAATATGCTGCTTTTCTAAGCAACGCGCAGATGAGCAAGGGATTTGAACAATTCAAACCTGGGATTTAACTATCTTCTATTCCTTATAAATTACATTTTTCTTTAATAAACTTAGCCAGGATCTGAGCTCTTGCTGAGCATCCCATTTGCAGAGGTCCCCATTATACACTATGTTTTCTGTTGCTCTGCTTTACATTTCTGTCTCTGGCAATCATTAACATGTAGGCTCCTGGCATAGTCATGGGCCATAAAGTTGACATCTAAACAAATACTGAACCAAAAAAAGATATTAAAAGAGAAAAAAAACCAAGAAAAATTACCCTTTCTTCCCTTACCATGTTGAATACAGCCATAGTTAATATTATAGCAGTGGTTGTCAATGTAAGAGTGATCCGTGGCCAAGGACGGTTTGCAATTATTCCAGATGATTTCAGGATCCACAACAATGAAGCTGATGCTTTCTTGCTACATTGCTAAGTGCAAAGAGTTTAAAAAAGAGAAAACAAAAATAGCCTTAGTATATTTAAATACTATAAACAAGGGTAGAATTAAGAAGGCTCAAGATTCAGGGCAGCATTAATCTTGAAACATTGTACAGAAATATTCAACTATTATATTCTCATAAGAGTTACAGATCATGATTATACATGAAACCAAATGCAAGTTTAATTAAAATATCTGCCATAATATCAATTCTGTTGAATAATTATAATTTGCAAGTACCTTATTAAATATTCAATATATATTACTAATAATAGGAAATACAGAGTTTACAGCAGTGTCATTACCTCTAATATCAGTAAAAAACAAGCAAACAAACTGACCTCCCCTGCTTCAATTGAAAGAGCAGTATTTAGTAGCCTCTGGAAACTTCAAAATGTAAATAGTGACTCTGCAAAGTCTTTGACAGAGACAGAGGACTCCTTATGCAGGATATAGGCTGTACTCATATCCCTGGCAGTCTACAAAACAGTGCGGTTTCTGTGTTTTTCTTTCATTTGTTTGGAGACTTGTTTGACAGTTTGTGAAAGGTAAGTCAGCAAGGTAAACCAACCTTCCCTAAAACTATCTAGAAAACAAACAACCATTTCATACAACAACTGGACTTACAATTTGATACAAAGAGCATTTAGTGAATAGAAAATTTTTCTTATGTAGTGGCAAAAATTAACAATAAAAAGCTCTGACTCATTTAACCTGCTTCGACGAACACATTGCAATAGCCTCCATTCATACATGCATAGTGCCCAGAGGCACCAGATGCTCACACAAAATAAATAACAATTTGTGGCACATCCAATAAATATTAATTTTCCCAAAACTTCAGCAATGAGGAGATAAGATTGCCTAGAAGCATCTTGTGCCCTTTCCAAATGTCAAATTCATCTATACTGAAACCTCTGTAAAACAGGCAATGAAAAGTTAAGGAACACAACAGTCCCACAAAAGCATTCGCATTTATCAACTCGTTTTCTCTTTTTACTTACTCTATTATCAGAGATCACTTTACCTATTGTTTTCACCCCAGCTACAGCAATCATCAGAGATACAAGCACAGGAAGTCTCTGAAATGAGAACTCAAGCACTAAAAACTACTAAATACAGGACTTAATTTACAGCACTTATCTCTTAGTTCAGGTTCAATAGCTTCGGCACATCATGCTAAATTACACTATTACCCAACACGTGTGATGTAGTTTGCATGAAGGTCTTTGCCATACTGCATGTAACTATTTCCCTCCTAATTACACACTATTTGGACAAGTCCACTATATATCTAGAACTTTTTTACATATTGTTTCCCTTTACGGGGAGTTTTGCATACTGGATTGGACAGATTCTGAATGAATGAAGTCAGTTTTCAGGAAGGGCAAAACAATAATTGGAATCTCAAGGATGGACAAAGAAAAGGGAAAAAATAGGCAGCTTTATATACACATTACTCCTCCCCCATATTAAAAAAAAACACACATAAGCTCAAGGGACCTGCATTTTTGAGCAAGAAACTCCTGCTCAAATTCCTTTTTGAACTTCCAAACCTTGTTCTCCACCCCTAAGTACATAGCAAATATCAAGATAATTTGAATCCACATGTAGATTTGAGAAAAGTTTTGTCATCCTTCCCACTTTATTAAAGTAAAAAGCACAAAGCCTAGATTGCTGCTGTTGCTAGAGAAGGGGAGTGTTCAACTGGATGCAGGGAATGGATTTGTGTGAAAATGAATTATTCAGTCATGCGTCTACTCTGCCTAAAGCCTAGTAAGTCAGGGAGCATGGGTTTATGGCAAATTAAAATAGTCATGAAATCATGCCTTAAATTACTCTTTGCCTGTGGCATAGCACACCTGGAGCTCTACTACAACTTCACCTACATTATTCTGTGATTTTCTTGGGAGCTTAGAAGTAGCTGGATTAGTTAGATTAGGGACAAAGCTAGGCAGGAAAAGTGGGAAAGTATGAGGAATATGAAGTGGGTAAGAAATTATATAGATAAAGCAGTACATCGTGTTCTCCTTTCTGAATTATGTTACAAGGAGCTATACTGTTCAAGGAAAGTCTTTAGGGTAAGAAATTCCAAGAAAAGAAGCTGTTGATGAAAATAAATTATCTGGCCTAAGCCAGATATATTTTATTACGAAATTTACTGGTTTTAGGTTATCGGACTAAAGGATAATCAAATTAAACACAAAGACCTGGCGATGATCAAAAGGACGATAGATGCTAGAACCAAAGTAACCTAATCAGTGAAGAACAGAAGCCACTGAACCTGCTGCTCCTAAGACCATCGAAGGAGAATGTTTCAGACATGGTTTCTGATGGGAAACCTAGCAAGAAGCCTCAACGAAAGAAACTCCCTTTCCAGGATGCGCTGCAGACTAAGGACGATTACTGCCTAAATCGATAGTATGCTGGCACGGGGCAGATAATTTTGCAATGGAGCAGAGAGAAACTTGGGATCATGTGAAACATTATGGAATGTTTTAAGGGCATCGTGGGTATGTGGAAAACTTACAGGATGTTTAGGGGATGGGACACAGGAGAGGAAAGGGAGGGATAAATGTGGATCAGGGAGGAACAAGCACAGGTAAATGGAGAAGAGAGGGGATGAAAGGAAATGTCCGCATGTAAACACTTGTCTAAATGAGTCTACTGCATATTCTTATTAAATTCTATCTCTAACTATCTTCTGTGTAAGTGCAGTCCTTATTCTGAGCCTGCATGTGTGAAAATGCTAGCAAACTTCATACTGGCCTAGATGGCAAGTAGCACAGGATTGGTGCCAGCCACTGCAGAGAGAGATCACCTATGTAAGGCAACGGGAGGCCTGGGTGCCAGTAACTGAAGCATCTCAGACCAGTCCCTGGAGAGACACACAGGGTGTGCGGGGAGTGTGTGTGTGTAACCATTAGGAAACTTCAAGGTGGCCTGGCTGAGAAGTAGGAGATCTGCATTTGGAGAGACCCAAGGTTTGAGCCAGTCACTGCTTAAGGGGGTGCAGAGCCTGGGCATGGATATTGTATTGACTTGAAGTCCATACTGAGTGACCCACAAAGGCGAGCGTGCCTGTGGGTGACCACAGTCAGGGTGTGTGTACACTCCACGAGCAAAGATCAGTCCTGATCAGCCAGAAAGGAGGCACTAGACTATCAGTGTCGATCATATTTACGTGAGTGCTGCTTGTCGTTGTGTGGGTGCTGTAAGAGAGCTGCTCTCTCCATGGATCTGTGTGGTTGGTCCTGTGTGTACGGTTTATGCCTGTGCCCATTAGGAATACGTGCTCAGTCTCACTACCGGTTGCACCTGGGACACGGTACTGACGGCCTCCCATTGACGGGAGTGGGACAGGAGGATCCCCTGCGTCTTTAACTCCAGTGGACCAGGAAGGAGCACTCCCCCAGCTCCTGAACTCCACTAGATCCAACAGGCTCTAGCAGCTCTTATTTTCAATTTCAGAACTTTAAAAAACATGCTTCAGTAACAGATGCAAAACAATGTCATAAAAAAAGATGCTTTCAAGTTTTTCTAGTGGTAAGCAATGTAAATTGATGGTTCCCTCTGAGCAGATGAACAACAAAATTAAGTTTCACACAGAAAATTTCTGTTGAATCCCAGTATATAAATACACAAATGTTGGCATCAAATGATGAAGACTTCTCAGACTTTTCTACTTCAATGCTTCCAATTGTTAAATTTGAACTTTCTTCATTTTTTTAAAGTAATCATTGAAAAAGTTACAGTACAGAATTGCTAGGATTACTTAGCAATGTCCATGCTGAGAACTGCATTTATTGCTGAGGACTGCTTTATCACTTTCCAAGTACTTGTACACTTTTGAACAGACTTATGTAACTTCTGTACCAAAATTCCTTGCAATAATTCTAGATTTCCTTTGTTTACAAGATTTTTATCAGTATCACCTGACTTTGCTAATGTATTTTAGCAAGGAGGAACTAACTGGACTGATTTTCTGCATTTCTTTAACAAGTTCTTTTTCTCCTTCCATTAAAAAAAAGAAGATTTTTATGTTCTCTGGGCAACGTTATCACTAAGAAAAGTTCTGGAGAATAAAAAAAATTTCAGGAAACAATGTATCATTCAGCCAGTGTGATTAATCAATAAAGAAATTCCACTATTCCAGCTGCTATTGCTAAAATTACAGATATTGCTGGCTCTGTCCTCAAGAAAAATGTGTTGTTAAACTGCAACTTCAAGAAGTTGTAGATAGTTATTTCCACTTGTAAAACAGAAGCACACCAGAACTCAGTGATGCATTTCTTGACAGACTGTTTAACGCACAGCTCTGAGTCCTGGAGACAAAGGACCACTGTTTATTTGGTAAATCTGTCATGCCCACCTGGTTTGTTCAACAGATGACAGGTCTCTCTAATAGCAAAGACAGCAGCCTACACAGGTTAAGGCAATGAGGCTCCTGAAAAGAAAATTTGTGACAAAACCCTGATTCACACTAAAAATCTTTAAACCATTGAGTAGAAATTCCCTGGAAAACATGAAAGAATACACTGTTGATCAATAATTCTCTATGTGAATTAACCAATTTGCTGAACTTCATTTCACTTTTAAGCAGTCTAAATCCAGTCCATACATAGTACAACTGCAGCAGTTCAGTACTGCTGAAAATTTAGGGAACTCCTGGAAGCAGAACTGGAGTGGTGGGGTGATCACTAAATTCAGACTCTTAATAGCACTGGCAGAACTATGCAGGTTGATTTTGCTGATTCAATAGCTTACGGCAAACACTTTTTCCTGTAAATGTTATGTCTCATTTGCAATTTTCTTAAGAAAATGGAGAATGACATGAAAGGAAGTAATCATTTCTAGAAAGCATGCAAGAAGGGTAAGACATCAGATCTCAGTAGCATTAGCTTCTGTGTTTATTCTAAGTGGAGCTGGCAGAATATGGTTCAGTGTTTATCATTTACCAACTAGAAATAATAGGTATTTGTAGTATGAA